GGGAGCCCAGGGCTGGGCAAGTGCATGGGGTGGGGAAGAGGATGGAGCGGGCAGCCTCCTGCCACCCTGGCACAGTGGGGATGACGCAGGGTGATGGATTGGGACTATCAGCCCTCGCTCCGGCACGGCTGCCTGGGCTGAGCCCTGGAGCGGGGGGCCGGGGGGTGGGATGTGCATCTGCCCACCCTGGGATGGATGGGACCGGGGCCCCATCCGGCACTCGCAGGGGCAGTGGGAGCTTTTCCACGGGCTCTGGCTGAGGCTCTGCTCCAAACTGTTTGCATCCTTGGCAAGGAGGGACAGAGGCGCTGGCTTTCCCCAGCCTGGCCTCACTCGTGGTGCTAATTAGGGAGGTTGGAGCTGGCAGGGCTGCTCTCTGCAGTAACCAGCGCTGCTGGAGTAACTTAATGGGGAACAGATTCCCCCGCTGCGGGAGGACCCTGCGGGCTGGCCGTGCTGTGCGGGATTGTATCCTGGCGTGGGAAGGGGGTTGCACGCACCCCATGCACCCAAAGCACCCCAAGCAGCCCCCTCCCCTGCTTTACTTCAAACTCTCTTTTAACGCAGCTCCCAAGGGACCAGGTCCCTGTGCGTCAGCTCTGTCCCCCCACCACAGCTGGAAACTCAGAGCAGGGAGGCAGGGAGCAGAGCTGGGCTCTTCATGGAGCGAGATTTACTGCTGGATGTATGTGATATTCACGCCTCTGAATGTACTTGAGTGACGGCTGCCTTCAAAAAATGCAAATAAAATAGCAGTTGCCAGCACAGGGCTACCCACAAGCGCAGCTCAGCCCTGCAGAGCGGTCGATGCTCTGCAAACCTGCCCTCGGAGAGGTCTCACCTTCTCCACTGGCTCCTTGGGAATGGGCATTGGCAGGGGCAAAGCCAGAATTTTTTCAGCCCCTGCCCAAGCCTGGAGCACGTTCCCTGGCCTGAGCAGCACTGGCTGCTCTGCTCATGTCCCAAGCGCTCCTGAAAATCAGAGGGATGGTTCTGGGATGTGGGAATGATGGACCAGAGCATCGCAAGTTCCTGGAAAGTGCTCAAAAAACAAAATTCAAGCCTTCCTCTGGATGCAAGCTGATGCTGGCCATCCACCTTGCAAAGCACTGGGGAAGGCAAGAGTTAAACCCTCCTGCCTAGGAATTAATTAACAACAGATGTGCTGGGTTTTAACTAATTACTCTCCTGCCAGCACTTGGGTTTTATGGTTCTCTGGGAGCTGGGAGCCTTAGCACCGTGCAGTCCTGGTCTCACCTGCCCTCCTTCCCTGGCCCCTCGCTTGGTGTCTTAAGCGAATCAATTCAGTGAAACAGGCAAAAATTCATGAAACACTCCAGTCACCTAAATTAGCATTGCTCTGGTGCTACTGGTTTTAGAGGAGCTCAGTGGCAGGGTCCCCCCAGGAGATGGGCAATGCATGATTGGTGCTCTTGGCCGATGCTCTCTGCTGGCCGTTTATTATGGACGAGCCATCGGGTGTATTAACGATGGGAGCTTATTGTCTAATTGCTAATAGACTGCCAGGGCTGCGCGTTCCGGGGCTGCATCTGCGCTGCCAGGCTCCCATGCTGAGCACGTCTAGAGATGCAGCCAGTGTACAGCAAGATGGACAAGACGGGGCTTGGAAATGATGCAGGAGCCACAGCAGGCAGGTGAGAAACCCTCTGGCTTCAGGACAGGCTGGCCCCATTGCCGTGGGGTTCCTGGGCACTAGGGGCTTGGAAATGATGCAGGAGCCACAGCAGTCAGGTGAGAAACCCTCCGGCTTCGGGACAGGCTGGCCCCATTGCTGTGGGGTTCCTGGGCACCCCCTTTCCCTGTGTGTCGCAGGGGCTGGAGGATGCTGGACGGGATGAGCCCTGCATCTTGGATGTGCCTCTGCTCCTACGGTGGGGGCTGCTTTCAACAGCCCGAGCTATTTCTGTCCACAATCACAATCAATAAAGTAAGCGAGAGGATTTTTTATTTTCCACTCCAAAATACTTTTTTTCATCCTGTTTCCTCCCAGTTCACACGGCGGACTGGGGAGCGCTCCAGCAAGGAGGCCCACGAAGCCATCTCCTCCTCCTCCTCCTTATTCTCTTTCTCCTCCTCCTCCTCCCTGCCGATGTGGTCCCGCGTGCAGCCCCGAAGGTCCCTTCTAATTCCCTGCGACCCCAGGGGCAGGTTTGCTGGGGGGGGGCGGTGGGAGGAAGGCATCGCAGATGTGCGTGCGTGCACACACACACACACAAGAACACACTTTCAGAGCCAAAGGGAAAAAAAATAAAAGGAGGTCTTTGGAAGACACAGCGGCTCATGTAATCCCAGGTTCTGCTGGGCTGCCTCCGCACAGCGCAGCGATGGGGGGACGGGCCGAGGGGAGACGACTGCAGTCTATTAAACTTCCTTTGAGAACCTGCCAGACTGACAACAGCTGGAAGGAATTAACGTTTCGGGTCCACCAGCTCCTCTCCTTTGCTTTCCCCCTTCCCCAAAAAAACCAGCTTGAGGCCACAGGCCCAGCAGCATCACTTTTTCCCACTCCTTGGCATCCGAGCTGATTTCTTCTTTGATCCTGAACCTGCCAGAAGCGTGAGCATCTGCTGAACAAAAGAAAAAAATCCCGGCGCCTGTGCCGGCACAAGCACCTGGCTTGGGTCCCTTGTGTCCTAGAGGGTTGGGACCAAGGTGGGGTGTCACAACGATGCTGCAAGGTGGCATCTCACACCTCCCTGCAGCAAAAGGCAGCAATGTCAAGGAAGGAAAAAATATCAGGCTGCCGAATTCTGCTGCTCCAGGCACGCGTACAGGCTGCAGGAAAGGG